CAGTTATTAGGATAAGATATGTGTATATTTATCAACCACCTTGTGATATATGTTTACCTATATATTTACATATAAAACACTATCACCTGTCTCTCCCTCTTATATATGCTAACAATTTCTCATGATAACAATCAATACAGTTGACGCCTTTCACATGATACGTATCTGAGGCCAGAAAAAATTTATTTTAGTTCAGTTGATTTTTTTCAGGGCAGTAAAACAAAACACAAATGGACACACCTATTATATCTAATTTGCCTTAGCTGACTTAGGCAATCATAGATGTCACATGATATTCCAAAATGGTGGTCACCTGTCTATTCCCATGGCTTCTCTCCTAGTTACATTGATTTCCTCCGACTTCTAAAGACCCTCTGCATGCAAGAGAGAGAGAGAGAAATGGGGTTTAAAGACCACTCAACACAAGTTAGGTCATTTTGGGACTAACATGGCTCTATTTTATTTCAATATTTCGCTTGTGCGTAGGGGTCTTTAGCAGTGAGAGGATAGCAGAGGACCCGGAGAAAACCCAGGTTGGACAGGCTACACTTCTTCTAGTCACATACAACCATGGAATTGAAACTACGCCAGTTGATTCATTGACAGAACTTATGATGCAACTTGATCCCTGCATGTGATCAAATTATTGAAATACACATAATTAAATCACACTTCTCTCTCACTCTACAAGAAGTTATCATTAAAGGTCTGTTGATCTGATAGACATATTGGTAGCCCCATTGCCACACACATAAAGTAACCCTTGACAGGTGGGATTCTGTGTAGAGTTGAAATAAGAGTAGGCCATAGTGCTGCTGTCTGGGCAAAAATTCCCTCATAGCACACTGCATAGTGTATGGCTATTGTCATTAGTGCCGGTCGGTACAGAAAAGTAGGAAATTAAACCCTATTTCATTTTCTTTTTCATTGACTTTTTACCTGTTATCTTATCTACAAACATGTCATCTGCCTTCCTGTAAATAACTGATTAACCAGAAATTACATTTATGAAATTATCTTGTTGATAAAGATATAGTTTTACCTATTTGTCAAGTATCGTATATATAGGTAGAAAGGAAGGGTCTTTGTGTTAATCATCGTCAGTACTGGACTTGATCCAATCCGATTTAAAGACAGACTTGTAGAGACTATAGTCGTATGTATTATTGCGTAAATTCTTATTTTTTGGAAATTAGGTGGATATATATGTGAATTGAGATATCAGAACAATTAATGGACGTGGATCGATTCAGTTTTAAACTTAACATAATTACCGTATATGGATTATTATAGTGGTATTTGGAAATTAAGTGGAAATATTTGTAAAGGGAGACAATCGAAATGATTTGTGATTGGATATATGTTTATTATTGAGATCAGTTTAAAATGTTTGTTAGAGGTTAGATATAATATTTTATATATTTATTGATATTTTAAGTCTTGTTCCAGTATCTGAACCAAGACGATTGGGTTAATATGATCTTTAATTCGTATGGCACAACGTCCGTTTCCACCGAGTGTGATACTGCATTCCTACTCTTATATTGAATTCCAACTGCCAAGGGATCTTTTATGTGCATGCCAATGTATACACGGGACCTCGTTTTTTGTCCCACCGAAATGACTAGACAGCTGTCCTTGTCAGGCCCTCCGTCCTGCGCCTCTGACAAGGAGAAACCACATCAGAAAATCCTGATGAAATTTCTCGGCCACCACAAGGATCAAACATGAGACCCCCAGGTTAGCGAGTCAACATCTTACTCAATAAGCCATAGTCTTGTTGGTGCAGAAAAATAGGACATTAAACCCCATAGTGCAAAGTAAAATACTACTTTTACACTAATTTTAATTTTGTACGCTGTAACCTTTACAATTATAGATATTATCATGGGTCAAAATCTATTTTCCTGTTTTTCAATTTATAAATTGTTTATGTATTGTGATTAAGAAATTGTTTATTGAAGGAATTTTTTGGGAAATAATACAAGTTTATCAGAGCAATCATTATCCTTTTGTTATGAAATTCTAGCATCAAAGGTCGACCCGTCTCTTAAGTGTATTTAAGATATAAATAGAATTCAAAACAGCAATTACGTGTCGTTAACACCCAGTAACCTCCCCTGACTTAATATCTAGATATGGATTTTATATACAACTAGGTTACGATAGGTTTTTGTCCTCTGATATTTGTATACAACCGATTAAATTGTTCGACTTTTCGTGTGAAAGATTTTGTTTGGTATGATTTTTATCAGGTATATCTAAGAGAAAACTCGTAAACTTGTCTTTTATGAAGAAATGATGACTTTTGACACCATTTATCAGGTACACGACCTTGTGGAAACTTTGCGTTATTGGGGTATAAAGTAAGGAAATTATTATAACAGCATCAGATGTTATGGGGATGTGGTCCTTGATGGTTTATGATGTTGCTAATTAGAAAAGACGATGTTACAATGCCTTTGCATTGGACGTGCTTAAGTGATGTTGGAATATTTCTCGCTATAGGTAAATAATGTCTATGATTCTTAATTTGTTGGGGGTTGTTTTTGAGAATGGTCTGACTTGTGCTCTGTATAGTCAAATTAACATGAGATTAAAGATGATTTGTTAGGCTGTTGGTACTATAATTGTCATGCCCATAGTATGGTGATGGCTCTTGACAAATATGGGAAACAAAAATATTGTGGATGTCATCATAAAACGTTTTTTTTACTTAAGCCATAGATGTCAATACTTTTTTTGTGCATGTTTTACTATTCTGGATAAACAAGAAAACTATTTTCCCAGGGGTTCTCACAGAAGGTGGTGGGGTGTTCAGTTTTGTTCTGTTAGACGAGTTTAAAGTTTTCAATCCAATTAAATGATCATCCTTCAGAATATAATTCGCTTGACTTTGACCCAATTAACTGTTGCTAGGACTAAACAAGGAAGAACCTGATTGGCTGCCAGAATTAAATCATATGAATGGCGTAGACATAATTCGTAGACATAATCGAGGTGATACAGGTGAACTCAGTGCAAACAGTTCTTTAGTAGTAGTCTTTCGCTAACTAATTTCATTCACATCGTTAACGTAATTATAATTATATCTGGGTTTGTGCTGATGATCCGTTTATTTATATATATTGACATGTTCTCTGTCTTACATAATACGTCTTGGCAGCTCCTATCTTTCATCATAGCACTCCCCAAAATCATTACTTTACTTTTTAAAATGTCTATTTTATTATGATGTACTTCAGATGTTGAACGTCTGCTTGAAAGTTCCTTGTATCACACAATGGAACTAGTTTAGTTTATGTCGGCTGGTCTGTTCATTACCCTCGTGGCAATAGATGAAACTGGCTTAGTTTATGTTCAGTCTTTTGTCGAAAAATAGAGAACTTTCTAAATTTGTTATGTTTAAATTTGTTTAATTCTCTGCAAACTGAACCTATGTTCATCTATTGTTTGAAAGAGTTTTGACTATTATTCAGAGCCTGATTCTACTGTTTGAGATGACACAGGCTTAGTTTCTGTTCTGTGCTTAGCTGAAACTACATCTCATTTTTGAGAACTTTCAAAATTTGAAATGTTTAAATTTATTTCAATTCTCTATAAACGGAATCTAGATTTAATGTTTGAAAGAGACTGTGACTGTTATCTTGTGTTGTGTAATAATGTTGAATATTATCAGAATGAATGGATAATAATCCTTGAATATCTTGTATTAAGAGTTTGAAGGTGGTGTATATGCATTATTTGCAGCCTGATGTTACTCGGTTTTGAGTTAAAATAGTTGAATAATCATTGAATATAGTGTTTTTGACTATTATTCAGAAAAATCATTGAATGTATTGTTTTTGACTATTATTCGGAATAATCATTGAATATAGTGTTTTTGACTATTATTCGGAATAATCATTGAATATAGTGTTTTTGACTATTGTTCGGAATAATCATTGAATATAGTGTTTTTGACTATTGTTCGGAATAATCATTGAATATAGTGATTTTACCGTGTGTTGTGAGTTAAAAAGTTGAATATATTTAGGATGACTGGATAATAATCATTGAATATCTTGTCTTGCGGTGGTCACGTTGATGTTTATATTGGTACCAGGATATGAATATATAAATCATGTATCTAGCAATGTTCACAAATAGTTTAAGTAGGAAACGTAGTAAATGTAAACGTAAGTACCGGGATTTGTATTGAGAATTGAGTTATTTAAGGTGTATTGCTGATCGGGGTCATCAAGTGCTCTGGTCATCAAGGTCAATTAGATGTTTTGCTGGTCAGAGTAGCTGAGATCCATTGATGATCAGGTTATTGAAAATCCTAATGATCATTGGATTAATAGAAAAAATCACAACCTAATCTGATGCTATTTTCTTTGTATTACTTACACTTTGTTGTGATTACAATTTACTGGGATTTTACTTGAAAAGAAAGTTTCCCTGACATTCGTCCATTGGAACTATTTCCGCCATTGTAAAGAAAATGAAATAGGGTTTAATGTGCTACTTTTTTGCACCGCTGGGCTAATGACAAGGGGAAACCGAGCCAGAAAATCCTGGGGAACTTTCTCAGACAATGCCAGGAGCGAATTTGAGCACTCCTGATTAGCAAGCCTGTCTTACTCACTGAGCCACTCGGCTCATTGTAAAATAGTAATTTTGGCAACTCTTGGAATTTGAATACCAATGTACCTCAATGATTTTAAATGGAGAATATGTATTGGTTATAATTTATTAATTATATAGTTTTTATACGGCCGCATAGAAAGGTGGTTGTATATTGTCATCCCCTCCGTCTGTTGTCCACACATTCTTGTGAACATTCCTCACTTCATTTATCATCCGATTGTTTTGAAATTTACATATCTTGTCTACATTGGTGAGATGAAGAAGCCTGTTTTATTTCAACCATTTCTGTTAATTACTTTTAGAGTTCTGGCCCTTGTTTCACTTTGTAGAACCTTGTCTTAATATTGTATTTATTTATTATTTTTCAGGATCTGGTTTACGACCATCCCATTCATTTAAAGATAAAAGATCAGTGTCTGCTCCTGTCAGAACTCCGGTAAGATATATTTTAATTTCTGTCACTACATCTGAGCAACTAGGAAATTGTGTAATGCTTGGTTCCCACTATCACGATTCGTGCTACGATTGAAATCGTAGTATTAATCGTGGTGATCATATCAGGTCTTATCATATACTGAGGTCAGTCGTAGCAATCATGTTGATCGTATCGGAACATATCTGCACATACCAGATCGTGGACTCAATAGAGACAATCCTTTCGTTTACGCATCGCATGACATTAGAAACCTAGCATTAATGATCATTTGTGATGATTGGAAAATTTCATATTTTTAAGACTTATTGAAAATTCAACAAAATAAGTCCTTATTATATTGATTATTATTAAACTACAAGTGAAATATTGATGTTGGTTGTTACCCCGATGTCGAACAAAGTTAAGGAGGGATTCTCTAATGGGCTCCATGCTTTCTTCTGTCCCGGTTTTGTTTCCAGATATCTTTATGAAACTTTGTACACACATAAGCCTATTAATAGAAATTCTGGCTTTTGATAATTTTTGTGTTTCTTTCGAAACAAGTTTGATTTTGATATACAATATTTTATTCCAGAGCATATCCCATAAACCATTCAAGATATATCTAAAACTTTGTACACACTGTTAGTGATTGTGGCTTTTGCTAAGTAGAAATTTGTTCGTAGATTTGGACAAATTTGGACTTATTTGGATGGTATACAAGGGGAGTAGGATGTTGATGACTTGTTTATAATATTTCAGGCACCGAGTACAGCTCCCTTTATACCTCATAGACACAGTTTACCCTCCAACAGGTAACAATATTATATTATATAGCATGGCCCACCCCCTCCCACCATCACTTGCACCCTCACGCATGATCACACCTCCCCACCCTCACCTAATTATATTATATTAACTGTATGTTCCAGCTGATCACACGTCCCTTAATGTGCACCATATATATATATATATATATACTAAAATCTGTGTATACCTGATTAATTAATGTAGGCAAGATCAAATCAAATGCAAAGCACCAGAAAATCTACCATAAAAAATTCAATTTTCCAATGTTGAAAATAAATCCGCTGTAATAGTAAATACCGAAGGATGGCACAATGCATAAACATAAAAAGACAAACCAGTCGTTAAGACATACAAAATTACACAGACATTCCAAACAATATACCAAGCAGATTTATGAGACCATCCTACAATCAGACCTACCCTTTATCTTATCCCAGGATCATATTTCATTTATAAGCTACTTATTTAGTTTCAGTTAAACCTAGAATTAAATATATACATATCTTTGCACTGCTTAGCTCGACAAAACTAGTCTTAGTTTTATGTAATAATTTATTTTTATGATGTGCTATATTATTTTGGTATGTCAGTGCTCCAGATAATATTCTAGTCTGATAGTAAATACATTGTTTCACTTTTCATACTTTGTGGGGTTACCCATCAACTGGGGATGGGGTAGTGCACTGAACTCATGACAAGAATGTTCCAAATCCACTCTGGCCGGAGTACACAAAGCATTCTTGGACTTAAGTTAAGAATATACTCAACTTTCAATAACTGTTTATGAGAAATATCTTTAATCCAGAAACACAAAACTTTACACATAGTTTCTTATTGATATATTTGATACATTAAAACAACAATTCTTAACTTAAGTTAGAGAAATTTTTGTGAACTCGGGACCAAGGCTTAGAAAAACATTGGGATTTCTCAAGCCCTGTTCCTACTTGGGGGTGCAAATAAAAGAACCCTAGGAAATTAGAATTTGATGAAAAAGAGGGGAAATGAACTTGTCAGTTAAAAAACCCCACAAAAACTATGTTATTCTCAAAACGACCAAAGTATTGTGCCGACAACACCCAATTGAGAGTTTAAGCGCCATTCCTATACGGTAACAAATAGAAGGTCTTGTCATGAACATTAAAGATCCCTTTGTGGCTGTTGGAATATGATAAAACCTAGATGATAAAGATGCTGTCAGGGCAAAATTCTTCTCATTACACAAAAACTACACAAACGAAAGTCACTGAATTAGATTTGGGGTTTTTAAGCCCATTTCTTATCTTTGACCGGTTCTCTGGAGCACTGTTAATTTTGTATGAATGATGTTTTTATGTAATCCGAGTGCACTTTTAGTAGCTTCAATGAATTGCATTAATTATTTTCAGAATTTATACAAGGTTTGATTTGAAAGTTAGTAATGAGTAGCTAACTAAAGGACTCAAAGTTAATGCTAGATTAGCATCTCTGGACATACAGGAATGACCAGTTTTGGGGATAAAGCTTAATTACACTTTAGCCAGTGGCACCTTTATTAGAAAAAAAAATGTCTTACTAATCTGAAATCCATTTGTAATTTCGAACTTTTTCAAAAACAAAGATATTCACGAACTTTCAGATCTTACCTTACTAGAACACCCCTATGTATATGTACATATATATATTTAATACACCCCTTTATATTTAGAATATCCCTGTGTATATATAATTTTGCCTTGTATATTATTTATTTAAAGAATAACAGCATGTATATTTATATTAATTGTACAGTGTTTATGGTTCCCCTCCCTCTTACTCCAGTCTATATTCACAGCTATCTACTACCTCTTCGTCTCTTCTACAGTAAGTTAATATTATATATAAAAAAAACCCAAGGGACACTGCAGAAATTCTGATTTGAAAAGTCCATATTATAACTTTATAAGAAAAACAACACACAGAACTACTTCACACCTAGTGAGTCCCCTGATACGTTCCCACAGCTAAAGACACCTATACGCAAGAGAAACATTGAAATAAATTGAACCATATGTTAGTCCCGAAATAACTTAGTTTGTGTCGTTAAATCCAATTTTTCTCTCTCTTGACACTGCCGAAATCCTGCTTTGAAAACATTTTAGACTCGCGATAATTAAAGGCTCTGTGGTAGTCGAATAGTTAGGGCAACAGAATCTGTGGTAGTCGAATCGTTAGGGCATCAGACTGTGGTTGTCGAATCGTTAGGGCATCAGACTGTGGTAGTCGAGTGGTTAGGGCATATTGTGTCCTGATACAAAGCTATATATATATTTAATCACATTTTATTAACTGATATATCATTTAGAACAGGATCATTGTTTTTCCTTTTGATTATTAAATATAATGTATATTGAACTTTATTTATAGGCCTAACATTTGAATCTTTAGTTATATGGATGTGCTACTGTTATTGCCCTTTTGCTTACGACGTTTGAGTTATTGCCATTTAAGTTATTGCCCTCTTGCTTACGAAATTTGAATTTAATTTATTTTGCTTTCCATAGATTCTGCTTTGTCAATTAAAATTACAACAGAAATTTTTTAGTTATGTATGTAAACTTGATGTCGTTGTTCTGGAGTATGCATACCATGCCTTGTACACTTTATTTGGCACTACTTAACAGCTTGATAGAGCTGTGCGTTTTGTTGGGACGGAAAACTGAGACCCACCTGTATAGACATTGGCAATTGCAGTTCGGAGATGAGCAGACATTAATGTTACTGTCTGAGTACAATTCTCCCCTCTTGAATTAAGACTTGTGCCTAATGAATAACCTTAGCTTGGTGTTTGGATGGAACGGAAAGCTGAGGTCCAGCTATTGGCAGCTGGAATTCGGAGATGAGTAGACTAGAACGTTACTGTATGAGCAAAAGTCCCAGCTCTCGCATTTCACATGTGACTATGAAAAAATTGCTGCAGGTCAATAACTTTAGCTTGGCGCTTGGAAGGGACGAAAAGCAAAGATTCGACTGCGTACACATTAGCAATTTGAATTCAGAGAAGAGTAGACTCAAAACTTACTGTCAGAGCTAATGAAATGGATATTGTTTAATGTTAGACTCAAAATGTATCGACTAAATTGTATCCTATTTTTGAAAAATGAATATTTTCTATTTCAGTAAAGCTATTAATGAGGAGAGTGAAACTGATTCGATGGGTCCGGGACACGATATAGGTCCTTCCAAGTAAGTATATAGATGTATATCTTCAGGACTCCTTTAAAGATGCATTATGCAAGAGCTAAATCGGCCTATTGCAGGTCTTTCTTTAGGCCTGAAATGTTATATAAATTATTAATTAGACATTAATTCACGTATCCACTCTCGAATCAACTCTCGATGTCATCGCTAGCCTGCAATAATTGTTGGATTATGATCCGATTTGCTGCAAAACTTTCCTTCTCGATTTAACGATTAAATGGAGAATCGAGACTATGATTTTTGTCGTACCGACTTTAGTAATGATGACCGAGGCTATGCGGAACTTTCAATCGCTTATTTCTGGGTTCATAGTGGATCAATTTGACTGAAATTTTCAGCAAATTGCCTTTACATTATCTAGTTTTTAACTATTATAGTGAGAACTGCCAACTCGTTATCAAATCTCCCATAATGTATCTTTAAACATTTATTAAAATAAGTTCATAATCAACTCTCTGGACCATTGGTTCGCAAAGATTTTATGTAGATTAGAACACTACAGACATTTAAAAGTTTAAAACAGATAATTGAGACTTGGTCTCGATTGTTAGGTACCTTTGTTACGATAATAAACAATCTATGCTGTATTTTGCCCAAACTTCAAACAAACATAACTTTCTACAGAATAATGTAATTTGACTAAAATTTTCAATATATTTATTTTACATTATCTCGTTTTGAGTTATTATTGAAGAATGATCAGCTCTTTATCTTATTCTTAACTAAGTTAAACATGTTTAAAAATGTCAGGATTAGTCTCGAGAAGCAGAATGCACAGAAATGTTATGTTAGAACTACCTATCGATTTCTACTAAAGATATTATCTGTAAAAAGAATATGGTTGTGTCATGACTTATCTTGGTATATAATAGACTGAATATATGGTGAACTTAAAGTCGCTGTCTAGTGCTTATTAAATGACGAAAAATTACGAAGTAGAAAAAGGTTGGGGTGCCCGAGTTTAGATTTGTCGTGTAGTTTTTGAATGTGTAGTACACAGTGTAATTCAACATGGCGACCGAGGGGTTTTATATTTAGGTACGGGTTAGTAGCGAATAGTTTAGTTATATGACAGTCAAGAATTTGGACTAGAATGGGAGCCCAATCAGTCGGAAGAATTCCATATGAAGGAAACTAGTCACTTGTGATAAGCAGGTCTTAAAGGACCTAAATCTCTAAACTCAATATATTCTAAAATATTTCAAATTATAAACACAAATTAGAATTCAATATTGGTCCATTTCAATCCATATTGATTTTGTTATGTTTCCATGAAAATGTGGGATCCTAATATCCAATATTTAGGACACAAGGAACGTTTTAATATATCGTACACGAGTCGTGTACCATATCGTTTCGGGCGCAAAATCAACGAACAGAGAAAAACTATCCTAAATTACAATGTGACAGTAAATAGTAATGTCTGATTCACAAATGATAAAATAATAATAAAAAAAACTTTAGAATGGATGAAGCAGGCGTAAATGACTGTCATTCAGTTTGGACTGTTCACATATTTCACCGAACATAATTGATTACAAATTACAATTGTTTTTTTAAAAATTAAATATAATTCACTTTATATACACTCATATTACATTTTACGGCCATTTATGGTTCCAAAAAATAAAGCCATACACTCTTTTCACCCTATTACTTAGTCATGTGGGAAAGCACCACCTACTTCCCTGATTCCTTGAATCTTTGAATCCTCTTTCCCTACCATTTATAGAATGGTGATTTTGTCAACTGTGATTTTTATTTGGCTATATTTAGAATAATGCCATTTAAGTACATTGTGTAGAGGGGTTTATATAGTTTAAAGATGGTCTATCACTTCAATAATTCAGGATGTTCAACAAAGATATTACATGTTCAATGAATTTTCTGTGGAAGTAGGTATGTGGTTTTATTTTTGATGACAAGATGAATCTCCTGTTATTATACCACGGTGAACAAAGTTGAGCAAGGGATATTGGGCGCAATATAGCCTGTTTGGAGCTGACATGCCATAAAACACCATTTCATTCTTTCTCTGAAAGTAGGTGTGTGGTCTTATTTTGGATGATAGAATGAATTTACTATTATTATACCTTGCTGATAACCACAGTTGTCTTGTTTTGAATTTAATATATTCAGTTAATTACATTTATTATCTTGCTGAATTTAATAGCGTCTCTTTAAATTTGAAAGATATCCGTTGTTAGAGAATGAAGATTCTGATACAACGTGATACATCGCTTGCTAAATACAGTCACATCCTAATAGGAAACTGACATCATTGAACAGAGTGTAGCCATTATGGCATGATCACATTGTGACCATTTGCAAAAGTTTTTGTTTCGTCTTAAGTGCTTTCTTATGACCTTTGTGAAAAGTTTGTGAATATTTTGTGAAAAATTGCCACAAGCATCAGTAATTGACATCAAATTTGTGAATAAGTTTTAAGGATTTTGAGTTAATATTATTCATTTTCATAATTAGAAAGTTTGTGCAGTGTAAATGGTTCTAGTTTCAAAAAGACATAGAAACAAAAATTGGATTTGTATTAAGATAAAAATAGTTGTGATATTGGATTTAGTTTATTTAGAAGATTGTGATTAATTATTGGGAAAATATTGAGTCATTTACCACAATTTGTGGACATTAACAAGATCTGATTTCTTTCTTTGATAGTTTGGAAAGATTATTGAGGTGTAAAAATCCAGATTTCAAATTCTTTCTTTAAAGATTTGGAAACATTATTGGAGTAAATAATCGAATTTCAAATTCTTTTTTAGAAATTTGGAAAAATTATTGATGTAAAGAATCAGATCTTTGTGCGCTGTTTGTGTAATATTTTGTTGAATGGTTGAGCTATGTTATCAGACGAGAGCTGATAATACACGTTAATTTGCCGACATTTTACATGATATTTAATATATAAGGATATATAATAAGTTATACGAATGTCAACAACAATTAAACACAGGATGAATTCAGTAGAAATGAGAGCCTACAGGAAATCAGATGAACTACCACCTATAGACAATGAAAGACAGTCGGTGTTTTATAGAAGATTAATGTTTGGTAGTAAAAACAGGTACCTTAACTCGAGTCCTACCGATAAACAATAGGGGCTGGGAGGAGAGATAAATGGGGTTTAATGTCCTCTCAACACATACTAGGTCATTTTGGGACTGACATGAATCAATTTAATTTCAATTGCTCAAGCAAATTATTAAAATAGAAATTGTACCATGTGTTAGTCGGAAAATGACATGGTTTGTCTTGAGTGTACATCAAACTCTCACTCTGTGTAAAATATCATTGTGGCCCTTTAGTGTCTTGTGATTAATACAGCAACGGGGTCTTGTCCATCTCTGAGAACAGAACATTTAGATTTCATTGAAGGCCAAGCCTATCAAGTTTTGTAAACAAATCAATCATATACAATGGCATAATTTCTGACAAACTCCCCAGATGAGCGGAAAAGTTAGAATGTTATTAAACCAGTGTTGAAATCAGTTTTCGTTGGCATACTTTTTATCCTTTTATCGTGTACCGTGAAACAAAGTGATGCAGATTTACGTTTGTGCTAATATTTTCGGATATATAATATATATTATCTTTTGTATCATTTCAGTATAAACGATACCATATCAGAATCTATGGAATCATTAGTTGAACCGGGTAAGTACTGAATTTATTTTAATGTGTTGATTGACTTGCACTACCCTCAAACAAAACCAATAAGGCAACCCTGCCTACAAGCCAAACTACACAGGAAATAAGCCAAACTACATAGGAAATAAACAAAAAAAATGTTAAATGAACAGTAGGCAAAACACTGCTGCCTTGACAAAATTCTCCTCTGTATCATTACATAGAGAACCATCGGAATAACCATATGTTTGTCAATATAGAAATAGATCCTTTGGCAGTTAGAATTCAAAGAACAGTGGGCAAAAAACAACTGCCTTAACAAAATTCTCCTTCCTATCAGTGGTTTCGATTCCCGGGTTGTACTGACAAGGAGTAGGGAGACAAGGAATAGGGTCGTCTGTCCAACCTTGTGGGTTTTCTCCGGGTCCTCTGGTTTCCTCCCACTGCTAAAGACCTCTACGCGCAAGTGAATTATTGAAATAAAATTGAACCATGTGTTAGTGGATGTTAAACCTCTCTCTCTCTCTCTCTCTCTCTCTCTCTCTCTCTCTCTCTCTATCTGTGTGTGTCTCTCTCTCTGTCTCTCTCTCTCTTCCTCCTCCTCCCTGTCATTGCACACAGAACAATAATGATAACCATGTGTTTGTTAATATAAAAGTCGTGAAGTTTAAACCATGTTTATTTTGATTGTAGTTCTATCAGAAAAAGATGTATTGGATGATGAACCTGATTTATTATTAAGTGTATCAGATCCTGAAGCATGGAGTGTATCTGTTGATCGCAAGGTGAGTTCATTGGTCACATCACATCTATTAATTCTTCTAATATTGAAGTTGCTCAGTAGGTGAGGTGCTGGCGCGGGAGGTACCATGTTCAACCCCATGTTCCTCAGGATTTCTGTGTTGTTTCCCTTTGTACGTAATGCCGAAGGACTTTGCAAGTAAAAGCATTCTAATGGGAAGATAGAGATTCCTACATAGTATATCATCATATGATGCACATTAAAGGTGCCTTACATTTGGAAATCAAAATGAGTGTTGGCCTCATCATTGCACACCGCATGACATACATATTTATGCCTGTCTTCATTAACCCAGTTGGTCTTTTCATTAAGATTAAGGTCTTAATGAACATATAGTTATGTTAGTCATATTATTTTGAGGTTTGGTCCACAGCTTGAGATGGGTGTTCTTAAATGCCATGTGATTCTAGGCTAACAGGAAGATAAACAATTGAAGATTTAAATTTAACTGATTTAGTTACAAAAATACTTGAGCAGAATTCATGACTAATTATTCATGTGAAAAGTATAGGATATTTATTTTTTGGGAACAGCTTATATCTTATATGTTGTAATGACAAACTGTAGTGATAGGGTGGCCGATTGATTTAAGCATTCATTAGGTCTGTCATTGAGTCATGCTCAAGCAGCATGGTTTTGTCCAAGTCCTCTGGTGTCTTCCTACTGGGGGATCACGTGGCTAAGTGGGTAAGATGCTAGCTCGCTAGCCTGGAGGTCGGGTGTTCGATCCCTGCATTGGCCGAGAAAGTTCATCCAGATTTTCCGGCGTGGTTCCCCCTTGTCAGTGATGCAGGACAGAGGGCCTGACAAGGACAGCTGTCTAGTCCTTTGGATGATACGAGAAAACCGAGGTCCCGTGTGTACATTGGAATTTACGTAAAAGATCCCTTGGCAGTTGGAATTTGATATAAGAGTAGGCGATGGTGCCGCTGCCTGGGCAAAATTTCCTCCATAGCACACTGTATGGCGTATGCCCGTCTTCATTAGCCCAGTATAGGAGCAGAACAGTAGGACGTTAAACCCCATTTCATTTCATTTTCATTTCATTTCTGTCTTCCTACTGCTAAATACCCCTATACACAAGCAAATTATGGAAATAATATTGAATCATATGTTAGTCCCAAAATGACCTATTTTGTGTTGAGTGGAAGTCAAACCCTATTTCTCTCTCTCTGTGAAACTGTAGTGATAATTTTAGAAGTAGAAAGTCATTGATGAGTTGGTCAACTATAATGATTCAATCACGAACAATAATCATATTGTCTGGTATATGTTCTCATGGTAGTTTTATACAGGAAGTATTCGTTAAATGAATGAATCTATGTTTAAATCTATGACGTCATCCTACATCTAGTTATTAGCATGATATCAGCTGAAATCAATATAGTAAAATCTTCACAGACACACATAAAGGTTTCACTGTAAACCTGTCAACTTATTCTAGGCATGATTTGATAAAATAAACAGCCACAGGTGCCTAAATTACGACTTTTAACTGTTATCAACTTAACTTAAAAGTGGGAATTGGAAATAAGAATAGGCTGTAGCACCGCTGTCTAGACAAAATGTCCCACATTGCACACTACATGGCATGGTGCAGTAAAGTAGAACGTTAAACCCCAGTTCATTTAATTTCTTTTTTATTAATTTCAGACTGTAAAGAAAATGGGAACAAAAGACATTAAAAGACAAGATCATATCTGGGGTGAGTTTTATTTCTTTTAAAATGAAGCCAATTTAAGAAACCTTTAAAACTTTAATTATTAAGTTTATTATAAATTATAATTGAAAATAACAATTTAATTCTAAGTTATATACAATATATTATTATTTTATTTAATGCTAAGTAATGTTATTTTATTTAATTCTAAGTTACAATATATTATTTTATTGAATTCAAAGTAACAATATGTTATTTTATTTCAGAGCTGATTATCACAGAGAAACAATATTGTCGAACGCTTAAAATTATGCAGAAAGTGAGTTCTGTTTTACTGTTGTATTCTGCTAATACAGATCTTTCTGTTCATTTGGTCTGACACCATGTCTATGGTATTTGTGTACCGAGCAGTTCATCAGGCGTTAGTCTTAAACTTAAAGGCCAATCATCGTCATTTGAGATTTTGTTCATCCCTTGCAATTTCTTAAAGGAATTTCAGTCCAAAAAATGGTTCATTTCCATTCAGCATTTGCAAAGATATTAACTGAAAAAATGGAATGAAATGGGATTTAACGCCCTACTGTTCTGCTCTGACTGTACTAACTGAAAACTTTTGGGTAATATCTTTTGACTTCAAAAGAAAATTAAGAATTCATATAATAAAATAATCCATATAATGTACAAAATAATCTCCTTATATGAAATACTTGTTTTACCACATTCAATTTGGGAATTAAAAAAGTTTCAAGAATGTTGTAAAACAAGCCTTAAAAACGTTTTATTTATATTATAGCGTTTCTATTCAATCATTTTTACACCATTTTGTTTTTCCTCCACAGGTTTTTAGTCATGGTTTGTTAAATGAACTTCACTTTGCACCAGAAGTTGTCGAGAGGTTGTTCCCAAAACTTGATGATTTGATTGATATTCACACCAAGTTTTTACGACAGTTGTTACAACTCCAGAAGAAACGTACTGATAGACTTATCGAGGAGATTGGACCAACGTTATTGGAAATGGTATGAATAATTTTTCATAACTTTTGTAATGCTTAAAAAAAATTTTTTTGGTTTTTTTAACCCAAATCACTGCCCCTAAAATTTTTTCTCATTTCTCAGATCCTATAAATTAGTCTTAGTGTGGTTTTCTGCAGACCGTGGTCTCTGTATTATAACAGTCTGGCCCCGAGTTCACAAAGCATTCTCCGACTTAAATTAAGAATTTACTCAAAATTGTTCGCTTTATTTTAACTAAAATATAGCCCTTTATAAAACTTTTGTTGTTTTAATGTATCAAATACATCAGCAAGAAACTAGGGCCAGAATATGCATTATTTTACAGAACCTTACTCAGTAATTAAGCTAGGAAATAAACAATAAACACTTTATAGTATTTAAGATGACATCCCAAAGGCTTTAGAGTTCAAGTGTTGATGTAGTTTATTAAAGATTGATTTATTAGTTCACTTAGAGTTCTATCCAATCTGTTTTTTGTGGTGAAGTAAATGTTTTTATATGGCGTTAAATAAGTTTTAGTATCTAACAGTAGGAGATGAAATGGTCAAAAAGACATAAAGAGACAAAAAAAAAAAGCTACTTTCATTTCATTAGAAGTAAGGGGATCTTCTAATGTGTGTGCTTTAGATCACAAGGTCTGTCATTGATCTAAGTGTTTTGTTTTTAATCCCAGTCTTGTAGGATTGTCTGGCTAACCTCTTGGCATTTCTCTGGGTTCTCCAAACTCCTGCTGCTATAAAAATTCTGCTCACAAGTAAATTATTCTAATATAGTTATGGTCCGACGTTCTAATTCAGACCCTGCTCCTAGCTTTCCTTGAAATAATAAATTTACATACAGAGCTTGGTCAGACAAAGGCGAATAACTTGGATTTTAATGTTTGATTTATAAGTATGGACATTTTGTCACCTTTATTATTTATGATATTGCTTTGTTTTACAGTTTAGTGGTGCTACTGCTGTAAAGATGAAGAAAGCTTACGGGTGTTTTTGCAGCAAACATAAAGAGTCTGTGGCTCTCTATAAAGATTATTTAAAAACAGAACGCAAATTTCATAGTTTCTTTCGGGTAAGTTTTAAAATGGATGAAAATTATGAAAAGATTTTATTTTGTTAAAAGAAAAAAATATGGATAAATTTGCATATTTACATTTTGTGGTCAAAGGGGAGATAATGAGTGGTTTAAACAGAGTTACTTCCCTTTCATATTAATTACTCTTGAATTTTATCATCACTCAAGGGAAATACTGAATTCAGCTTTCCCGAATTGAATTCTTTCAATTCCCAAGAATAGTAAACACAAGAAAATGGAGCGTTAAGAGCATGGTCAAAGTGAAAATGTTAGACCCACTGTGTTTGGCCAATCACCATCGCTGAAATGTTTGATTCCATCACAGGACTCCAATTGAATGCCACTTAAAACATTCCAGACTGATAATCAAGCACCTCGTCAGTCGAAGCAGAACAGAAGGACGTTAAAGCCCATTTCTGTTCATTTCATTTCGAACACCCAGTAAAAATAAAGTATAGATATTTAGAAGAAAAAACTTATTTATTTGTTGTTTATTTATTTATGGCGTCTTTATTTCAGAAATGTTCGGAACTACCCATGGTTAAAAAACGTGAATTTCCTGATTTTATGCTAGGAGTTACATTACGTCTTTCAAAATATCCCTTACTTATAGAAGCAATACAAAATAGTACTAAAGGTAAGACGACATTGTTGATTTATTCTTTTCTATTTTCATAGAAACAATGTTTACTTGGTTTTTTATATACAATGGCTTGTGATATGTTTTCTCTTTTATTCTTTTCTGAATACAAAATCACAAAAATTGTGACAGAGTTGTCTAACTTGTGAATTTTAGATTATTATTTTAAAAAATAAAACATTGATTGAGACTTTAAACTCCATTTTATTCTATAAGCCTTATAAGGGGTTAATGAAAATAAAGGATTTTAACATTTTATTTTGTAGATAAAAAAGATCGTGAGAAGACACGGGAGGCCCACGAATCTAGCAGAAACGTAAACTATGAGGTAGACCAAGATGTTGCATCGTACGAAAAACTGGTTGAAGTACAGAAAAATATAGATAGTCGTGCCACTACCGTTTTTAAGGGTAAAAAATTTAAGGTAAGTTTGCAATTTTGTGAATGGTCTGGTTCGTTAGAGATTGTGGTTTCCCCCGTTTCTTTTGAATTTCCTCATTTTTTTTTTTCTAACAGTCCCATCTTTTTTAAAATTATATGATTCTAATATTCTTAGTCTAGTAGATTTGATATAAATGCCTCGGATCGTTATTTGTGGTGTGGTTAATTGACTTGCATATTAAAAATATTGTGAGACTTGAATCTCTAAAAGAAATATCTATCTAAAAATGGTACAATTCTATTCATCATTCACAATGTCATGAGGAATTGAAAATTTGTCAATCATTGGTATTCTCTGCCAATGCCACCTATAATCTTTGCCTGTGTTTAATCCAGTAGATTTGAAGAAAAGAGAATCTACCCCTGATATTTCCATTTCTTAATCAATTTGTGTACATTTTAGTGAGCATTAAGACATGAAAAATAAGTCATTTTCCAAAAAAGGCAAATGACGATCAGAGCGACTTTTAACTGCTTGATACCAATAGATTGAAAAACCTCTTTAAAACTTCTCATATTATCGTTTATCAAAATTGTTTTACGGTATTTAAAAAAAGGAAATGACTTGTTTTTTCACAATTGGATTAATTCTGGATTCGGATCTTTAAAATGGTTTAGGTTCTTTTTTTTTGGTGGGGGTGGGAGGGACATTGTAATCTTTAATCAGTAGCTGGGATAGGGGTGGGTAAATGTGGATACATGGGCAGGTGGGTAGATTGATAGGGGTAAATGGGTGGGGAGATGGGTATATAGGATAGATGTAAATGGGTGGAATGTGAGTAGCTGGGATACATGGAAGGGTAGATAGGATGGGGTAAATAGATGGGATGGGCGGGTTGGGGGAGGGTAGATGGGATGTATGAAAATGCTATAATGTCTTGCGCACTGGTCTTCTGCGGAATGAGGAGTTTATATTTGAGAGATGTTTAGTACTACGTATGTTTATATATATGTTATTTATTACTATATAACTTGTATCCTGGTTGTAAGTAAGAATGTTTTATCATATATAAACACGCGGTTTGTGTTTGATTCAGATTGCTCGAAGACATTTCGCTTTTCAAATGTAAAATTAGATGAAAAAACAGCAAAGTTTTTAAAAAATGTCTCTGGTGGAATTTTGGTAAAATCATTTGGGGCACCAACCCCCTCTCTCTTCTAGCCAATCTGCACTACTAGATTGTTCATGGGACGAAACAGAACATAAAAAAACCCTAACATTTGGAATTCAAATTAAACGTAGACGTAGCGCTGCTGTTCGGTCAAATTTCCCTCATAGCACAAGATATGGCGTATGCACGTCTTCATTTGCCCAGTTGGTGCAGATGACCATTTCTTGTTCACAGTTTATTGAAACTTATCTTGATATATTTAAAATTATGTGAATGGTCACAGAGCATCTGAATCAGAAACATACCGAGGTTATAGTGGTTTGAAATGGATAAATAGCTATATATGTAACTAGTTATAGGGTGCTTTTAAATCGCTAGAAAATGGTGGTGTTGATTTGCATGTAAAAAAAAATATTTCTGGGATGGAAACATTAAACAGTGACAATACACATTGTGTTACAGCAATACAGTATTTTAATCAGAGTTACCTTTCTTTAATGGAATTATTCTTCAAAATGACAAGACATTCATTGTAGAAATGTAGCTTTGATTAAAGGAAAGTATTTGTTTTTCATAGAACTGTTATGATTATGTTAATATTTTTATTTAATAAATGCTGTTTAATCAGTATATATCATAGCAAGATATTTATATACATCCTAACTGTAAGGCATTAATAAAGAGCCATTATGACCTTTAAATGCTAAAAAAAATAAAAAAGGTATGGTTGATGTCCAGGGCCACGAGTTCATAAAGCATTCTCAGACTTAGAAATTTACTCAAAAGTGTTCGCCTTATTTTAACTAAAATATAGCCTTTTATAAAACTTTTATTGTTTTAATTTATCAAATCCATCAGCAAGAAACTATGTGCAAAGTTTAGTGTTTCTGGATCAAACGATATTTCTCATAAACAGTGATTGAAAGATGAGTAAATTCTTAACTTATGTCTGAGAATGCTTTGTGATCTCGGGGCCTGGTGTTGATCTAAAGTTAAAAATGATCTCAAATGATATATTAAGATTTATCAATTTTGTGAGAAACCGTCCTGGTAAAGTATATTCATTTAACTTAGGATACAGTCTCGATGAATAAAAAGTCACTCGAGTCCTTTGAATGGTTGGGGTTGGATGGCTGAATGGTTAGCGTGCGCGCGCTGTATCATACGGTCTGTCATTGAGTCAACTGGAGGGGTTTCGATTCCACGGTTGTACGTGACAAGGAGTAGGGGCGCCTGCCCAAACTCGTAGGTTTTCACCGGGTCCTCCGGTTTCCTCCCACTGCTAAAGACCCCTACGCGCAAGCGAATTATTGAAATAAAATTAAACCATATGTTAGTCCCGAAATGACCTAGTTTGTGTCGAGTGGACGTTAAACCCCATTTCTCTCTCTCTCCCTTTGAAAGGTGTTTTATTTAGAATTTCAAAACTTAGAAATTTTAAATTAAAAGCTTGTGAAAAAAAGCAAGCATGTACTGTTTTTACATAATTTTTTTCCCTGAAGAAATATAGAGCAGAATTTGAATTGGTTCTACTGCAAGACAAAAAGTCAAATTGGCTTAACATTAGATTTCTGTTTTAAAAATTTACCTTTTTGCTATCAGTAGATAATACAAATGACCACATGTTAGTCTCAAAATAGTTGAAGGAACCTGTTGATGAGAGGGGGTTGGGTGGCTGAATGGTTTACGCGTGCGCATTTGATCATGAGGTCTGTCAATGAGTCAAGTGGCATGGTTTTGATTCTCCGCTTGTACGTGACCCGCTTGTACGTGTCCAACCTCAATGGTTTTCTCCAAGTCCTCCAGTTTGTTCCCACTGCTAAAGACCCCTACGTGCTAGCGAATTATTGAAATAAAATCGAACCATATGTTAGTCCTGAAATCACCTAGTTTGTGTCGAGTGGATGTTAAGCCCCATTTCTCTCTCTCAGATGATGAGACATTAAACCCCATTCCTAGAAACAATATATGTTTTATTATAATCCACTTATTTATTTTAACAGCGACAAGATATAACAGCAGGTGATAGAAGATTTGTTTACTCGGGGATCGTGGGATGGAAAAACGCAAGAGGTAGAGTCACAGGTAAGTTCACAAAAACACAACGATTAACAAAATTCATCTTACTCGAAACAGCATTCAAATGTATCCTTGGAATTAATTCCAGTCTATCCAGGGTACTCTTAGGATAGGGATGTTAGGCTCTTTGGGCAGCATATAGTTTGATTTAAAACAAAGTACAAGTATTCCTAATATTCATGATAATCACTAACTTGTTTCTGTTTTTCAGATATCTTGGCAGTTGTTTTAACAGACATAATTATTTTCCTTCAAGAAAATAATCAAAAATATACTTTTTATGTTCAAGATAACAAGGTGAGTCATTTAACTTTCTTTTTGGGGGATTGGATGACCGAATGGTTAGCACGCTTGCACTGTATCATATGGTCTGTCATTGAGTCAACTGGCGGGGGTTTTGATTCCCCAGTTGTACGTGACAAGGAGTAGGGTCGCCTGTCCAACCTCATGGGTCCTCTGTTTTTTTCCCACTGCTAAATACCCCTACGCGCCATCGAATTATTGAAATAAAAATGAACTATTCAGGATTGTGCCTGACAAATGGCAGGGTAGCAACCTGATGGTTTATTCCCACTATTGAAGATCCCTAAATGCAAGCAAATTATTGAAAATAACCTACTTTGTGTCGAATGAACGTTAAACTCAATTTCTTTTTGTCCCCCCATTACAATATTATAAAAAATATTTCCAAAACCCCAAACATAACATGCTAAGTTCCTGAATAAAGTTGTACGTTGTTTATATTTTTTAGTCCAGTCTCTGTATAAACCATGTTTTATATTTTCAGTCGTGTGTTGTTTCTCTGTATAAATTATTAGTAAGGGAGAAGAATGATTCACGAGATAGTCACGGTATCTACCTCATCTGTCAGAATAAACATCAGCCAGAGATGTACGAACTGGTCTGTAAGAGTAAAGCTAGTAAAGATGACTGGACAGAAAGCTTGAAGAGAGCGGTCGAAAAATGTCCACAAGAAGGTTAATTTTATTTCTGACTTAAAGCTCCAACTGCATTAATGAAGAGGGGCATACACCATACAGTGTGGTATCAGTAAAATTTTGCCAATTCTAATTGCCAAGGGATCTTTTATGTGCACAGCAATGTGTACACAGAACCTCATTTTTTCGTACCATCCGACAGATTATACATAGTCCCTCTGTCTTGCACCTTTGACAAGGGGGAACCATGCTGGAATATCCCAATGAACTTTCTCGGCCAACACAGGGATCAAACATGGGACCTCCAGGTTAGCGAGCCAAGTCTTACTCACTGAGTCACTGTGGCGCCAACTGTGACTGAAAGTTTTAGTGATATAGGAACCTGACTCGCAACCAGAATATCCCTCAATCAAATCAAAGCTAGACCCAAAGAGATATTTTTAGACCCCAGACCTACATGGTTGTCAAGAAATATTTACAATGGCACTATAAAAAATGCTAGCAATTTCATTTATCATGATGTAGACCCCTGGCCTTTCCTTTTTATACGTGCCCATTACAATACGCCTGTAGGGTGGTTGTGTAGTCCAGCAGTCATAAGATATGTCATTGATTCAAGTGGCGTTGTATATCTGTTGATTGTTGTAATTATTAGGTAATTATTCACCTGTATTTAACCCGTTAATTAATATATTTTCTATTGGAATAGAAGAAGTGCCAATTGTTGTTAGTCTAGAGAATGAAGCAGATCGAACGAGAAAAGAAGAGAGAGCAGCCAAAATACAGTATATAATAGGTCAGTACTTTAGAATGAATTTGGGATGTTGGTTGGCCAAGTGATATAACGTGTGTCTTAAATCATAAGGTCTGTCATGGAGTCCAGTGGCAGGGTTTCAATTCCTCACTTGTACGTGACAAGGAGTAGGGTTGCCTGTCCAACCTTGTGAGTTTTCTGCTAGTCCTCGGGTTTATTCTCACTGCTTAAGACCTTTACACGCCAGCGAATTATGGAAAAATAAATTGAACCACATGTTAGTCCTGAAATGACCTAGTTTGTGTCGAGTGTATGTTAAAACCCATTTCTCTCCATGTACATTCAGCAGAAATGATGGTATTGTTACATGTTCAAAGGTAACCTAATTAATTACGGTTTGTTTTGTGCGAATAGAGCAGAAAATTAGGACGTTAATCCCCATTTCATTTACTGACTTTTCCCATGTTTTAAGTTGTTTTTTTTAAGAACAGTTACACCAGCTTGTCAGACAACTATATTGAATTTTTCTTTGTTTTTATATTTTAGAACAATTACATCAGAAAGATCGTGATATAAAAGATTGTTGTGAAGAGAAGAATCAATTAATGGTAGAATTATTAGATATAACCAACAGTCGAGAGGATTCCCATTCTGTAAGTTTATATCTCTACTTTCATTTTATTACTCAATTACCTGCATGTACGTGACAAAGAGTAGGATTACCTGTCCAACCTTATGGGTTTTCTCCAGTTTCCTCCCACTGCTAAAGACTCCTACGTGCAAGTTAATTAATGAAATAAAATTCAACCATATGTTAAGTCCCAAAATGATCTAGTTTGTGTCAAGTGGACGTTAAACACCATTTCTCTCTCTCTCTCTCTGTCGCTTCAGAATTATTGGGTTACATCACTTTTACCTAGCATTAGTCGTCTGGTATATTATTTTTTTCCCTTAATTAAAAAATTATATTTTATATTTACTTATATTTTATATTTTCAGCGTCCCAATTCTCAGGATTATTCTCGAGGCAGTCAGTCTTTAGAAGTTTTACAGGCAGCTATTTTAGAAGGTATATATTTCCTTTGTTAAAACATGTTGAAGGATGGATCATACGATCATAATGGACCCTTTAGCACTTGTCAAAAGTAAATTTTGACTGCCCCTGGATAAGCCATATCGATCAGTTATGCTAAAGTGATCATTTCATTCAGCATTTGACATAAAATATTCTAAAATGGGTCGGCAACTGAGGTGGCTCATTGAGTAAGTCGTTGCCTCGCCGACCTAGAGGTCCTGTGTTGGACTCCGTTCCCCCCCGTCTCACTGGTGTAGGACCTTGAGTCTGGCAATGGACAATGCATAGCCATTCAGATGGGATGAAAAGCCAAGGTCGTGTGTCAAATTGGCGTGGACAGTTGCAATTCGAAAAAAAGGTTTGGCCACATTGCAGCTGTATAAGCAAAATTTCCCTCATAGCTCACTGCATGGCATATGTCTGTCTTCATTAACCCAGAAGGAGCAGAAATGTAGGACATGAAACCCAATTTCATTTCTAAAATGGTTTATTTGAATATTTTCAGCATCCCGTTTAACAACAATTCTTCAAGGTTCTGGAACTCATCTCAGCCGCAGTGTCAGCAGTGTTGGTGAACATGTCAGTCATTCATATGTTGCCATGCCAATGCCAAAGCGAGCAGAAACTTTCGCTGGTTTTGACAGTTCGTATGAAGTGCCTAAAGGTCAGTTTAATTTTGATTTGTTTAAACAAAAATATTGTCACTTATACATTGACAGATGCTCTATTTAACTGCCTGAATTTTATTGGATAAAAGGGGGGTGGTTGGTCTAGTGGTTTAACGCATGCGCTTTAAATCATAAGGTCTGTCATTGAGTCAAGTAGCGTGGTTTCAATTCCCCGCTTATACGTGACAAGGAGTTGGATCGCCTGTCCAACCTTGTGGGTTTTCTCCAGGTCCTCTGGTTTCCTTGGTTTCCTCCCACTGCTAAAGACCCTGCACACAAGTGGATTATTGAAATAAAATTAAACCATATGTTAGTCCCAAAATGACCTACATGTAGTTTGTTTCGATTGGAGGTTAAATGAAGCAAGTCATGTAATTTGAGGTTTTGAATCTGTAAGGAGAATTTTAAGTTATCAAACCTGATAATACATAAACAAGTCTTGTGGAACAAATGGGGGGAGATGTTTTCTGCGTACTTAATTGTTTTTTTTTTTACCTTTCTCCAAAATTCTCTAAAAATCATATATTTCTTGTTATTTTAGGTGCTGTGAAGAAACGTTTTGTACCTCAAATTCGTGATAGTTCTTGTCGAACACCCAGTCTACTGAGTTTAGATAAACAAGATGCAGACGCGAGTATTTCTAGTGTAGCTGAGCAAACCGGTGGTCACAAGGTAAGAGTTATTTCCCTTGACACACTTTTCTGATCTGAAGCAGTGAATATAGTTACAACATTATTGACCTTGTATCACATGATCATCTTTAGCCATGCCCACTGAATTCCTAAATTAAAACGTGAGCTTCCACAATTAAGAAGGGAAAGCCCTTGTATGTCATGATCATCTTGAGTCACACCCACCGCAATCAAAAATATGAAGGAATGGGGTTTAAGGTCATAGGCGTACGAGCTGGGGGGGGTGGAGGGGCACCCCCCCATTTTGGGCATGTTTTGCTGGGAAAATTTGAGCACACAATTGTACTTTGTAAAAGTTGTATAAAAAAATATTAATATTATCATTATTATTATGTTACATACTAAGAACCTAACTATATTTTTTGGCCACCAACCACCACCGTCCCCCCAGTCAAAAATTTCCCTGTATGCCTATGTTTAAGGTCTTGTCAACACAATGCTTTGTTATTTTGAGACTAACATATGGTTGTATTTTTTTCCATTCCATCCAAGGGACTAGACAACACCCTTACTGTGCTTGATAAATCCTGAGATTCTTGTCAACCCACTTTGATTTGAACCCAGGATATTATAGTCAACAATTCAGTACCCGTCTGCCACATCCCCCTTGTCAAAACTGGGTTTAAATTCTCAATCCATATGGATAAATTATTATCCTGAGCCTAAAGAACTCAAGGCTAGTGATGTTGAAATAGGCTTTTGTTCCCCCCAAAATATCTCTAGATAAATTATAAAATTTTCAGTTTGTGTTTCCACGGAAACAATTTTGACTTAGTTGAAATAAAGACAATAAAAATATATTTTCAATTTAACATCTGCTGTTTGTCTGCATTGAGTCTCAATTTTCCCTGACTTAATTTTACAAATTAGAACAACAACAACAAAAACACAACTCATTGCTCTGTGATTCTTGTGAAGATTGACATGGTTATTTCTGAAGGACTAGACATACTCGCTTTATCAGATATAGTCTCTGTTATCCACACTCAACAATATACACTGCATAGCCTGGGAATTTCCCAAAAAATACCAACCCTTACTGTCACTCTGGACAAGTAGAATATTTATTATACAAAAAAAAAAATGAATCAAATTTTGTTGATAACAAGAACAGCTAAAGTAGTTAACAACATGAACAGCTAAATGATTTAGTAACATGAACCATTAAAGTATTTAGTAACATGAACTGTAAAAGTATTTAGTAACGTTAAAGTATTTAGTAACATGAACCGTTAAATGATGAGTCGTTATATACATGTAATAACAAAAACTTAGTTAATGATGACCAATCTCAGGCAAGCGCAATGTTCAATTGTTCTCATTAACCCTATAGTATTTGAATAATTTATGTTTTGACCGTAGCGTAGTCTCAATTATCGCTAAAATAATAAACCAAGTCTCGACATTCCATTTTTTTCGTTACATGATTAAATGGTGAATGTTCAAATTCATTTGATATCAAAGTCATTGATGGTCTGGAGAGTTGATTATGGTCGTTTCCTGTGAATAAATGTCTGAATAATAATTTATATAACATTTATATATAACACCTGCAATAGACTGATTTAGCTGTTATATAATGAATGTATTTTGAAGATTGTTACATACATGTAAAGAGATATTCAAGTTCTTGTCTAACCTCTGTGTCCTCAATTACCCATATGTTGTTAAACTCATATAAAAATAAAATCTAGCTTGAATTTACGTCACACAGTCAAATAACTGGAGTTAAATGAAGTGTAGTAAGTGTAGACAGCTTGAATTTTGTGGCGTTGTTTTGGAACTAGGCCATGTTTTTATTGGATACTTGTAAACAATATCTGTTTATGATGTATAGCTCTCATCACCTTAGTGTATGATTTAGTCATTGACAGTGTTATATCTTGTAATATTATCATAAATAAATTACTTCATGTGTTGTTTTTTTTCTGCCAGTGATTGCCATGTTAGATTATTTGATTATGTTTTTTTTTTCTCCTTTTCAATGGATAATAATAATCATTATCATTTGTGACGCTTTACCAGTTGCTATAAAATTGAATAAACAAGTCTGGTAAAATAAATAAACAACTATTATAAAAATAAATAAACATGTGTTATAAAATAAATCTACAAGTTGGATAAAATAAATGAAATTATTATAAAATAAATCTAGTAGTCGGATAAATTAAATATGTCTGATCAAATCTGTACATAGTCTTCATTCGATACTAACAATAATAAAGTTTATGAACTCCATCTAGATTGACCCTGTAATGAAAACAATAACGAAATAGGATAGAAAATCAAGAATTAAGATTTAGTTTGAATATCTATTTTATTTACCTTTGCTAAAATAAAATTCCAGGATGGATCCCAAAAATGAATACTGGTAATTAAAACTACACAAGTTATTCTTGTACCAAAATTTTTTAATTAAGAGAATTAAGAAGACTCACACACAACTTATAGTCTAGTTACAGAATTTGTTATGTTTCACCTAAATATTGATATCATGCTGTTAATTATCTGAGCTACAAAGTCTGACCTTAATATATTAAATTGATGAAGTCATTAGTTAGGTAAATATTTTCTCCTCCCTCTGGTCATTAATAAATAGACAAACGACTACATGAACGTAATGTTGTTAGTTAAAACTGATTAGTGATTATAAATATGTCAGAAAAAATCTTCTATGAGATCTTGTATTCATTATGGATCTTATTACGATATCTTAGTTGTGTTATATAAAGAGAGAGAAATGGAGTTTAACCTCCACTCGATAAAAACTAGGTCATAATTGAGACTAACATGATTTAATTTTAGGTCAGTAATTTGCTTGCGCGTAAGGTCTTTAGCAGTGGGAGGAAACCGGAGGACCCAGAGAAAACCCACAAGGTTGGACAGGTGATCCTACTCCTTGTCACGTATAAGCGAGGAATCGAAACCAATGCACTTGACTCAATGTTAGATCTTGTAATGCGAATGCATTAAACCATTTGGTCCCTATTTTCCACTAAAATATCAAATTTCCACAGCTTATTTCACGCTAAGATGTACTCAGATTCATTATTCAACATTTAATTAAGAAACAAAATCAAAATACTAATGCTACATAACTCCGACTTGGATTCAATCAGATTTAAAATAGGCCTATCAATTCTGTTCAGCCACAACAAAATGGCAGCTGTCGTATTACTAAATAGAATTGAGGGGGGTTGGATGGCTGAATGGTTAGCGTGTGCACGCTGTATCATAAAGTCTGTCATTGAGTCAACTGGCGTGGTTTCGAATCCCCGGTTGTACGTGACAAGGAGTAGGGTCGCCTGTCCAACCTCGTGGGTTTTCTCAGGGTCCTCCGATTGTACGTGACAAGGAGTAGGGTCGCCTGTCCAACCTCGTGGGTTTTCTCAGGGTCCTCCGGTTTCCACCCACTGCTAAAGACCCCTACGCGCAAGCGAATTATTGAAATAAAATTAAACCATATGTTAGTCCTGAAATGACCTAGTTTGTGTCGAGTGGACGTTAAACTCCATTTCTCTCTCACTCTCTCTCTCACTAAATAGAATTGAACCATTTTTGGATCTTTCCCAATATTGTAGTTTGTAAGGGATTCTTACTGTGCTAAAATGAAGCAATGGGACTTTAAACATAATTTCTAGCTCTTAAGATGAGAACATCTTGCTTTACTTGAAATAGGTTATTAGATAGCTAGCTGTCTTCATTGAGAAACTTGAAATATGGGATATATGTTTCACTTGTTTACAAAACAGAACACAGTTAATGAGATTTCCATTTTCTCTCGATTTTTGATTAAGATAACATGAGAATACATGAGGCCATTGCCCAGCCAACTTTAGTAGTGGTGTTAATGCTATTGAAACAAGTTATGATTTATATAGGACAAAATTTCCCACTGTACACTGTAAACATACACAGAACTAACTTTATTTACTCATCTTTAGCGTTTTCTAAATTTCTCGATTATGGCCCCTATTATTGTTTAAATGTTTGATGTTCTAAATCATTGTGACGTCAAGTGGCAGACTATAGCCATTCAGGAGATGACCATGTCAAGACAGTTCGAATTATTATCTATTACATCTTTTTAGTAAATCAAGTTTTGTTTTGATTTTGAGTGAAACCCAGGACAGCACTGTGGATGCTTACAGCTTCCCCTCCCCCCCACACACATTTTGCCACCTTATAGGTAAGACAAAAACAATCTCTGTATGCTTCCTGACCTTGTGGGTCCTATTGTCTCTTCCCACTGCTAAAGATGCCTACATGCAAGAAAATTAATGAAATAAAATTGAACCATGTTAGTCTCAAAATGATCTTATCTGTGTCAAGTGGTCATTAAACCATCTCTCTCTCTCTCTCTCTCTCTCTCTCTCTCTCTCCCTCTCTCTCTCTCTCTCTCTCATTCCTTATTTTATTTATTTCAGGAATCAACTGACAGTAGATCACCTGCTCAACTCGGTCAATCTCCAAAACAGAAAAACTTTGAAGATGAAGGTGTTCGACCCTCTGATAGATTAAGTGACCTTGGATCATTTGGAGAACTATCTGGATCATCTATATCGTCACTGGGACATACGCTTGGTCGACACAACCAGGAGGAGATGTCATCCATAACACAACTGTGTAGATATCTTCACTGTTTAATGGTAAGTTTAATGGTATTTAGTGATTGGGTGGCCGAGTGGTCCAACGTGTGCGCTTTAGATCAAAAGGGTTGTTATTGATTTAAGTGGCATGGTTTCGATCCCACACTTGTTCATGCCTAACCTTGCCTGGCTACCCTTGTGGGTATTCTCTTGGTACTCTGGTTTCCTCCCACTGCTAAGGACCCCTACATGCAAGCCAATCATTAAAGATAAAGATAAATCTTTACCATATGTTAGTCCCGAAATGACAACTTTTTTGCTAAGTGGACGTTAAAATCTCATTTGTCTCTCTCCTGTTAATTATGGGTGAAAAACTCTTACAAACCTTTTGAAGCTGTTGGTTACTTTTTCAAAGACAAAAATAAACTTACAATATGGGGTTAGCCATACAGCCCCAAATCTGAGATTGGCCCTTTAAAACAATATAAAAACCAATAACCTTGAAGAAAATCAATATATTCTCTCCACATTATCATAAAAAATACTGTCTTCATTAGCCCAGTCAGAGCAGAACAGTAGGATGTGAAACCTCATTTAATTTCATAAAAAACCAAGATGTTGAATTTATTGAAAAACATGGCCTTTGGTTTTTTTTGACCTAGATAAGATAGGTATTTTCTGTTTCTGATGTCATAATAAACTGTATGTCATTGTTTTTGATGGACCTGTCAAAACATTAAACAAGAGATATTTTGATAAACGGATGACCTCACATTATTATTAGAATATAGTCAGTCTGTTGTTTATAGGGGGTGATGGTCAAGGTTGTCCGACTTTTTAACGGGACAACCGTCTTCATTAGCCCAGTCGGAGCAGAACAGTAGGTTGTTAAATTTAATTGCATTTAAAGGGACAAACGAGTCGAATATAGAGCTTAACTGTTGAAAGGGGAGTCATCAAGGCACAGTGATTAAGGCACTGACTCATTAACCTTGAGGTCCCATGTTCCATCTCAGGAGAGAGGGTTTAGCTTGAATTAATTTGCTTGCAACAAAAACTAAAGTCCCAATTTCAGTCCAACATTATTCAAATCTGTTAATTGTCCAACTTTTTGATGTAGTGACAAACGGTAGGTTTTAAGATGGGGATTAGCAAAACAATAGGTTGACTATTTTACACAGGTGACAATATCGTCCTGATTACCTTAATTCTAGATTAGGTGTCAAAATTTACACGATCCCTGATTTACTTGCACTTTTACTGACCCCTATTACACCAGACAACCCATCTAAAAACTTGTTCTATCTTAAAACCCAATTCTTCTTTGTCCAGTATTTGACAAAATGTCATTACTTGTATTTTCCATTTCATTACATCACACAATGAGAAGAAATACTTTCTAACTTAGAGCTTTTTTTTATTTTTAATAGTATAATACCATCTTTCATTCCAAATGGTTTTTTCTTATACAATCCTCCATTCCAAATTGGGCGTGGTTAGCCCTTGTCAGTGATACAGGATGGAGATCCTGACAAGGACAGATGTCTAGTTGTATGGATGGGACGAAAACTGAGGTCCCTTGTACATATTGGCATGCATGTAAAAGATCCCTTGACAGTTGGAATTCGATATAAGAGTAGGCCGTAGTGCCGCTGCCCGGGGCAAAATTTCCCTCATAGCACACTGTATAGCGTACGCAGAACAGTAGGACGTTAAACCCCATTTCATTTCATTCCAGACGGCTTTTCCTTATACCATCCTCCATTCCAAATAGCTTTTTCTTAGACAATCTTTATTCCAATTAGCCTTTTCTTAGACAATCTCCATTCCAAATAACTTTTTCTTAGACAATCTCCATTCCAAATAACTTTTTCTCATACCATCCTCCAGATGGCCTTTTGTAGAAAATATTACTCTTAATACAATTCTCATTTTCTTTTTAAATAAATACTGCATGTTCCAACGCCAAACATCTGATTTTATATTCTAAAAATCTAATTCATGAAGAAAGTTTGATGTTTTTGAGGATGATGTCGAAGGATGGTATAAATTCCTTTGAGCCCTTCCTGCTCTGGCTACTCATCTTGTGATTCAGGTACAAATAAATACAAATTTTATTTTGTAGTCATTAACATCGGAACATAGTACAGCTGTTGAAGACCTTCGAGCCCAGTTAATAACAGCCAATGAGAAAATTAATAAATTATCTGTTGATGTCAGTGAGAAGAAATCCGTTTATCATCATAATCAACTGGAAGAACTTCGAAATCTTCAGGTAAGTTTTTTTTTTTTAAGATTTTATTATATTAAAGATTTCGTTTTATTAAAGATTATGTTTTATTGAAGATTTAATTTTTTTTCAAAGATTCACTTTTAAGTGAATGTTTTCTTAAAGTGAATTTTCTTGAAGTGAATTTTTTGAAAGTGAATGTTTTATTAAAGTGAATGTTTTATTAAATATAAAGTTTGATTATATTTAAAGTTTGATTATATTTAAAGTTTTTTTAAAGGTTCAGTTTTATTAAAGATTTAATTTAATGAAAGATTCAGTTTTATTAAAGATATAGTTTTATTACAGATTAAATTTTATTAAAGACTATATTTATTAAAGATTTAAACAACTAAATTGAATAGATGTGTATTTGGTAATTTATTGTTTTTAAAAGGTTTTGAGCATGTTTTTGGATCGATTTAGCACTCAAGATATGGACATTATTATTATATTTATTTATTTATTTACAGGAGAATTATAGCCGTGAACGTCAGGAATGGGAAAGAACTAGATCCCAGAATACTGTTTGGTTAGAAAGTGAAACTAGTAAACTGGAGGAACAGAGGCGGGTTTTAGCACGGAAAGAGGTAAATATATCTTAAAACCATATTCTCATATAAACTTATTCTATAATATAACTACATTAATTTATGTTTCATACTTAAATATGCTGATCTACTTTGAACAGTTTGCTTCCCTTGCAAACAATCAGTCTTCATCAGCCCAGTCAGAGCAGAACATTTCATTTCCTTTCAAACAATGGAGGTCTATCTTGAAGCTGGGTTGGGGGGGGGGGGGTAAGTGGCTCAATGGTCTGACATGTACACTTTAGATCATAAGGTCTGTCATTGAGTCAAGTGCCAAGGTTTTGATTCTCAGTGTGTACTTGAACAGGAGTATGGTCGCCTGTCCAACCTCTTGGGTTTTGTCTGGGTCCTCCTGTTTCCAGCCACTGCTAAAGGCCCCAACGCGTAAGCAAATTATTGAAATAAAATAAAATGACCTAATTTGTGTCCAGTGGATGTTAAACACTCTCTCTCTCTCTCTCTCTCTCTCTCTCTCTCTCTATAACTAGGTTTTTATCAGGGTCTTATTCAGAATCATCAATGGAGGTCTTTTCTGAAGTTTCAGCAGATTTAATAAGCTATTACTACTGGTTGCCTTTTTTTTTTGAATGCACAGAGTTCACATAGATGTGTTTTCCTTGCATGTCAAGTGTCCAATTTCTCTAACAACTTTACATGTCTGTAAATAAGCTAAATATCTACGTTCATGTCTAACATGCAGAACATGTATTATCATTGAGAATGTAAAATTCTATATTAGTCGCAAATCACACCAGAGTGTCTCGATTTACTGTATTTATGATGTCTTAATTTGACTTGCGGTACAGTAGTCTATTATTCTCGGTGTAACTTGATCTCGCACTATGTTATTTTTGGTATTAACAACACGTGTCTACTACAAGATGTTGGTCACCCTGTTTCATTCATGGGCTTTCTGCATCCAAAAAGGTTGCATGTTTTCTTTGGTAACCTTTGAACAACAACAGTGATAAAAACACTCACCCTCATCCCGTGCTCACCTGGTCGAGGGTTGGGTTGTTGAATCATCTAACACATACGCTTTAGATCATAAGGTCTGTCATTGAGTGAAAAAGTGGTGTGGTTTCGATTCCCAGCTTGTGTGTGACAAGGAGTAAGGTCACGTGACCAACCTTGTTGGTTTTCTCTAGGGGCTTTGGTTTCCTCCCACAGTATAAAGACCCCAATCCAAAAGTGAATTATTGAGATAGAATTGAAGCATAGTCCCAAAATGACCTAGTTTGTGTCCAGGGGAGGGTAAACCGCATCTCTCTCATTAATATTGGGTTCACGTGGCTAAGTGGGTAAGACGCTAGCTCGCTAGCCTGGAGGTCGGGTGTTCGATCTCTGCATTGGCCGAGAAAGTTCATCCAGATTTTCCGGCGTGGTTCTCCCTTGTCAGTGATGCAGGACGGAGGGGCTGACATGGAAAGCTGTCTAGTCGTTCGGATGGGACGAAAAACCGAGGCCCCGTGTACACATTGGCGTGCACGTAAAAGATCCCTTGGCAGTTGGAATTCGATATAAGAGTAGGCCGTAGTGCCGCTGTCCGGGCAAAATTTCCCTCATAGCACACTGTATGGCGTATGCCCGTCTTCATTAGCCCAGGTTAGGCGCAGAACAGTAGGACGTTAAACTCCATTTCATTTCATTTCATTTCTCTCATTAATATGATTTATATTGTACACAGTGAAGTTATTTTTTATTGTTTGTTAGTCTTTGAAAAGGCTATGATATTGTAGCATGAATGTTTTCTGTTTACTTGTAAAATTGTTACAGCTAGAATAATATCCTAACTGTTTTATAAAATTGTGATCAAATGGTTCTGTTTATAAAAGCAAAGTGAATGTCACTATGGCCTTGAGATTTATATATATTTTTTTGTTGTTGAGAGGCTATGTTTTGATATCCCAGTGAAAAAATGATATTATGTTTCGTGACGTCTTCATTAGCCCAGTTGGTGCAGAAAAGTAGGACGTAGTCACGATTTCCCTTATAGCACTCTGCATGGGGTATACTGATCTTCATTAACCCTGTGAGTGCAGAAAAGTAGGACGTTAAACCCAATTATATTTCATTTCTTTGAAAAATATTGTAATTTAGGTACTTTGACAGACACAATCCATATTATCAGATAATCAGAATTCTTTTGATAAATAAGCCGGTGTTGTGTTTTCAAACTGTGCTTTAGATTACATGGTCTGTCATTGAGTCAAGAGGCCTGTGACAAGGAGTAGGGTCGCCTGTCCCAACTCATTAGGGTTTTTTTACAAGTCCTCCATGTTTCATCACACTGCTAAAGACCCCTACGCCTACACGCAAGCTAATTATTGAAATAAAATTGAACCATATGTTAGTCCCAAAATGATCGAGTTCCTGCTGAGTGGATGTTAAACTCTCTCTCTCTCTCTTATAAAAGCAAAGTATAAACATCATAAAATTTAGCTTGACATATACACCAAAAGTTAATCTGATGTAACTTTTTTCAGCTTTTTTTTTTGTGTTTATTTCTTGAAAACGGCTAGCGGTCTTTCCAGGGCAATGTGACACATGGTATCAAACTGAATAAAACCACAATCTACATATTTTCATTATAATGAGTGTTGACAAATGGATAAACTGTTTTACTTTTTTGTTGGTGGTGTTAAAGTGTAAAAAAAAAAACGTAAAGATAACTCTGTCTACTTAGTATTTAGGGAAAAGATCAACGCGATGAATTTCCGTCATGATTAGAGAAGAATGTTAATCGATCTCTTTTTCTTATGGTTTAGTTCAGATTTATTGCAGTTAATAACTCGACTTTGGGTTTGTTTTTTTTTAACAAGTTTTATTTAAGCGATTAGAAGTGTTGTGTCTAGTGAAGTTGATAATTGCCTTTTATTTGTCGAGAGTTTCAAGATCTTTTGAAGTGCCATGATTATAAATCTTGTTTAAGAGATTGTTGAGATGATTTTTCCTGTCGTAAGATGTAGTATGCTCCAGAACAATAGCTTAAAGATGCATAATGCATCAAGTGTTATATAAATTATTACACAGACATTTATTCACATGACAAGCCCATATTCCACTCACTAGATCATCAGATAGCTAATATTTACAGATGGGACAAATAAACATGGTCCAAGCGTAAAAGAAGACTTAACAGTTGGAATTGAAAGAGGATTACTTCTACCTCACACTATAGATATAACCAAATGTGACCTGTGACAGCCATATGAGTCAGAAGTGGCAAGACACTGTTTACGATAATAATATACAAGTTGAAAGTCACAAGTTATTGTTTATGATAATAATAATATATGAACAAAAATGTCAAAATAGGCTAAAAATATTTTTAAAAGATTAGTTTGCTTTATTTGTTAAATCGGATTATATCTTTAAAAGATCTTTTGGCCAATGTTAACATTTTTGTTCATATTTGTTCATGGTTAAAGCGTGCGCATTGGATCACGAGGTCTGTCGTTAATGTGATGTGGTTTTGATTCTCCGGTCGTACGTGACAAGGAGTAGGGTCGCCTGTCCAACCTCATGGGTTTTCTCTGGGTCCTCCGGTTTCCACTGCTAAAGACTCATACGTGTCAGCGAATTATTGAAATAAAATTGAACCATGTGTTAGTCCCGAAATGATCTAGTTTGTATCGAGTGGATGTTAAACCCCACTCTCTCTCTCTCTCTCTCTCTCTCTCTCTCTCTCTCTCTCACACACACACACACAGAGGGGAGAAAAAACCATGGTCCACACATGTAAAAGAACCCTTGACAGTTGAAAATCAAGAAAGAGTAGGTGAAAATGGCACTGGCGCTGTATAGTGTTATGTTGACGAGACATTAAACCAAATTCCATCACATTGTTCTAATTCTTATTGATCTATTTTCAGGATGAGTTGCGACGCCAACGAGAGGCCCTCCAGAAACAGATCGACATGTTAAAGGAAGTTGGTCTGCCTTTATCATCAAGTTTCTCTGGTAACCAACCAGTTTGTGAGCATCCAGATAGTCCTGATAGTCGCCAAAATAATGAACCCGTTGTTCACAAACGGTCAGCATCTGCAGACTTCTACAAGGGAACCTCTGAAGACTTGGAAAGACTTAATCAGTACAACCAGCGGGACAACGCAGGAGAATTCCGCGGGAACGGATCAAAACCCCGTTTGTCGATGGGGAATTTACCGAGTTACAATTCTGTTGGACAGAAACAAACTATGCCTGTGCATCTCTTAAGTACGACCAATGAACAGAAAGTTGGTTCCATAAAAGGACAACAGATCCCGATGAAACTTGTGGGAAATCCAACACCTCATGGTACTGCTCTACATCAACAGAAACCTTCGTTACTGAAGGGTACGATCAGTAATCCAGCTCATCAACGACAGGGTCTGCACCACGGACCAACAGGTCACAGTGCTCCCTCTAATCTAGCTCTAGTGAAACGACTAGCTGAACCACATCATGGTACCAAGAATAAGACGCCCTCCCCGCAGGGTAGCACCCACTCAGCACCAGGAGGAAACAAACAAGGCAAATCAGACGAGGTGATATACTTCTAAACTGCAGGTATGAATTCAAACATTTTTGGAATCTTTTAATTTAGGATCGCCTATCCAACTTCACGGGTTTTCCCCCGAACTCCTCACACTGCTAACAGACCCCTACGCACAAATGAATTATTGAAATAAAATTAAACCATATGTTAGTCCCGAAATGACCTAGTTTGTCTCGAGTGGATGCTAATAAACCCTTGTTGTTATTTAGAGAAATACCGCTGTCCAGGCGAAATTCTACCTTTCACGTTGCACATTTAGCAATTAGTAATTTGTATTAATTTACTTGCATCGATACTAATGCTTCTGAAGCCGTGGTGGCTTAGTGAGTAAGAACCCTTGGCAGTTGTAATTTGATACAAGAGTAGGCGGTAGTGTCTCTGTCTGGGCCAAGTTTCCCTTATCCTGAAAGTATCTCTGGATTTTTTAATGTGGTTTCCCCTTGTTAGTCATGCAGGCCAGAGAATCTGGCCTTGAATAAAGTCTAGTCATTCGGATGGAACAAAAAACAGAGATCCTGTGTATAAGTTGGGGTGCACATAAAAAATGCCTTGGCAGTTGGAATTTGAAATAAAAGTAAACCGCAGCGCCGCTGTCAGGGAAAATATTCACCCAAAGCACACTGTATGTTGTATGCCAAATTCATTAGCCAAGGGAAAACATCCATGCAAAGCACACTGTCTGGTGTATGCCCATCTTTATTAGCATAGTCAGAGCACTAGTACGTTAAACCTCATTTCATTTCATTAATATTTCTTCATTATTTTTTTTTCAGCAATATATCTGAGGAGATTGATCAGTAAGAAGTCTAGGTTAATGTACAGATGACATTACCTAGGATATAACAATGGTGCTACTTTCACTTGATGTCTGATTTCTTCGGTGGGTACATGGAGGACTACAGTCTTACGATTGGATACGTTTAATCACATGATGTACACAGATTACTGGTAGTCCGATGTAGTTGTGAGACAGACGTTGGAAAGACAGTTCCAAAATGAAAGCTGTTCAATTAAATACCTTTTAAATGATTAATTAAATTAGTGCAATTGTTAATTGTTAGTGATGATTTGTTGACAAAAGAGCTGGTTTCTCTGTTTCGTTGATTTTGATTGGTTGGAATTGAATTGAATAATTATGTATTTGTTACAAATGATTGTATTGGTTGATGATTATGGACAAATGGTCTGGTGACCAATCAGCACATTGATTATTGACATAAGCACATCTCGAGAGGCAAAGCCTCTCTCCTAAAGATGATGCTTCATTATCCTAAAAGTGCTCACTTCGTTAAAAAAAACCAAAACATCTGACAAAATGGCTTCTAAGCATTGTCTGCAGATATTTCTGTCAAATATTTAATAACTGCCCCGCCATTTCGTGTTCAAAACTTCTCTCACATCTGTGGAATCACGCAAAAATTGTGTTTATTGTCAAAGATGGAGACAATATTATTTCACATGAATAAAAGTTCAGATACTTTTCCTGTCGCACAAATATATCGTATGCAATTAATTTAATTTTCGAGTCACAATTTAGCAGAGCAGTATTGTGAGTAATATTAAAAAATATGTATTTAGATATGTCAAATGATAATTTATTACTTTGTACATATGTATGTACATACAGTATGTTTTGCAAATATAATTTATACTTATTTAGATTTATATCATCTTGATCACTCTGTCTGAAATCGTCTTCGCTTTGACTCCAACAATTTTTAATCTGAATAAAATATGTCCATTGTGTGTATGGTTACTGGATGTTCATGTAGACAGTTTGTGCAGTGGCTTGTGGGAAATGTCTTCTCAATCCATCAGTTAACAATGCATTCTGCGTATTTCAAATACAGGGTGAAGGTCATTTTTTCTTCTCAGCCAATCAATAATAAGACATACCGGAATCTTCATATGACCTTTAACACTGTATACAGATGTGATACCATTTTGTGGTAGTCAAGGGGAGACAGTTTGGGCTGGATTGATCGAGTGATTGAGTTCATTTTACGAAAGGTTTTTGTCTAATTTAAGATAATATTTTTAAGAAATAGATTTCGACGATTTCATATACATTTAATTAAGGGTGCTGTGTAATTATGCGAATAGTTTGTGTGACTTGATGCATACTTTGATCGACTTCGGTGAAGTGCAATTCAACATTTTTTTTTTAATTACGAAGATTATAAATTAATTAATAATTGAAATATATGTACATGCAGTGTTATTATTTTTTCATTTTGAATTCTATTATTAAAAGGCAAAAAATCACTTGGGTGTAGCGACTAGATTTCGCTTTGTTATTGTTGTACACTCTTCGGATACATATAAACGCAAAAACGATGTTTCATTTGATGGCGATGGAAAATTCTAAATCTTCCTATGAAACTGATCTAAGCATCTTGGAGTAGGAACAATGAGATGAAAAATGTCCGGTCCACATCCCAGGACAATGCACGCCATATGACAAAATGTACAGGATCTTAAGAGTATTTTATTTTCCAAATCAGATTGTACTATTGCTAATACAATTAATTGATTCGTAACTTGACAGGTGTTTGGACCAGGAACTTTTCCACAAGCGCTGGCCTACGTGCTTTGATAATTTAGGAAACTCGGCAAGCATGTTCCTTGGACAATTTCGCATTGATTGATGGCCTTCACTTTTTTATATGATGTCACAATTTAAAGATGATGGCGTCATGATCGGTTCTTGGTCCATATAGTACTATCGTACTATTTTTTTGTATCCCCCCCCCCCCCCCGAAAAACGATGATATATATTTTATACGAAGATAAGAAATAAGTAAATAACGAGACATATTCATATTAGATTTTAATTTTATTGATATACACAGTATATAAATATGCATGTTTTCATAATAACAAGGTATATTAATACCTGCATTTAATGATTTAATAGTAGGAAATTATAACATTAGGGGATCTGTAATATAAAGATAGTAACTTAAGTGAATATGCTTAGGTTTTGATTTTTTCAATACAAGTGCAATTTGTTGGTTATGTGAAGTCCTGAAATGGGAAGTGGCAACGATTGGGCAACTAAAATGAGTATGCTATATATAGTATATGCACGGAACAACTCCCACGACTTTTGAAGACTATTAAAGTTTTAATGTTTTCAGTACAAAACAAATTTGAGTATGTTCATTTGCAAGGAATGATCTGGACACTTTGGAAGCTGTGTTTCTAGTACAAGAGAAAGCTTACAATAAAATTTTGTTAGCTATGTGAACTCTTGAAATGGGAAGTGACACCAGGTGTCTAGGAGATAGAGCATATCCTGCTACATACACAACAGCTATTGAAATTATCAGTCTTTAGGTTACAGTTCCTCTACTTATTGAAGTATATAGACTATTATTATTAACGTGTGATTAATTTATTATTTGGACAAAAAAAAAAGATATAATATGGACCCCTACACGATTGACATTTTGTATGTAGGTTCCCTATGGTTTTTTTATTTTTTAAGTCGATAATAATTTAGAGTTACCTAACTTAGGACTTTACATCGTTGTCATGGACACTACGTATATTTACATGGATTTGTCTTACTTATGAACACTGTTACGTTGACGTTGAAATAAAACATTTTGGACCACAGCCTCCGCAGATAACAAGGCAGAGCCATATTGTGTGTTGCGACAAATTTGTCCTGTAAGGAAAATGAATTCCATGCCATATGACTAGCGCTGCCGAGGTTGTTACGGAAGAAGTTCGCCTGTCCTTCAACTGTATAGCAAACAGACTCATAAAAACACCTCAAATTTGACCAGAATTCAAACTTTTTAAAAGATCGCTGGCCACCTATATTAATTATTTTGTCGAATGTGGCTAGTAACTTAGGGGCATTAATGTGCTCTAAGAGATCTTTGTCCCAAACAATGGGTTATTTTGAAAAGTGCTTTTCGACTTGAATTCATTACTAAAAAATGAAAATTAGTTTTAATTCCTCATTTTCAACATTCCTTTAAGATCAAAAAAACTCATTATTTTTATAATTATTTTGGCTTCAAATAACTTTTTTTTGTGTTTTTTTTTACTATTTTATATTTGAACTGGTCAGATGTTTGGTATTTAACTGTTTGCTAGTTATAGATATCGTGGTGTTTTTTTTTAAAACTTGTAAAATATTGTGTTCATAAATCATGTGGCTTGTTTTTCGTAAATTGTTGTTGCTTAATAAACTGTCTACTGTGTGATCAGCTAATCCTAGTAATTGTAAAGATCCCTGTCGAAAATAAACTCCATAGCTTGGCAAAATACATGGAGGAATTATTATTTGTTGTTTATGAGTTGTTAAGAAAACTGCACTTTAGTTAACTTTAATTTGTCAAATTCTTATTCTGTGCTTCATTCTGAGATTGTTTCGATTATAAAATTGTCTAAAGTTTTGAGAAGTATTGGTGATAAAAATACTGTCAAATCTCAAACAGCCTTTTGTTCGAGTTTTTTCATCTTTTTTTTTAAAAACTTATATAAAATGGTTGTAGGTTGACCATTGTTTAAGTTATTTTCTAATTGTTCATAGTGTAAAATAAACTATTTTTACTTTAAGAAAAAAAAACCTGACAAAATATTTGTACAGTTATAGAGGACAATCTATATTATTAAATTTATAAATAGAATTTTTGTAGATAAATAGATTGATTATGTAGGCAAAAGATGGTTCAATGGCACAAAAATATTTCTTTATTTTCAATTAATTTGTGACAGGCAATATCTCTGTTAGGCTTTGTTCACGAATATATAAATTCTTAAAATGGATTTTAGCTAAAAAAAAATTATCTAATATTAAGGATTCTTTGAATAGGGCCCAGAGGCCATTTAATTGGTTGAGCATTAAAATCCTAGAACAGATTTTACAGCTCCTGACCAATGAAAGGGCAGAATTTTCAAAATATGCTAGGTTTTTATGAATAAGGATAAAGACCTTGAAGCCAAATTTTGCACAGTGATTAAAGATAAAGGAATTTTTTGTGTCATTGGTATGGAAGAATTACCATATAGTTACAAGAGTAGTTAGTGTTAATTTAAAACCATCATGGTGCCAGTTATATGTACATGATTTATTGTTAAAATAATGTTATTCCCTCCCTTTTGATTGGTCCTTATTTCAAATCATTAAGACAATCAACCAATCAGTTTGTCAGATAGCCCAATTCATTCTGCATCCATTGATCAGAACATTAAAGGTGCTCAACTTATTTTTCACATTCGTAGTACTTGATCTTTTTCTCAGAGGCAATCATTAATTCATTAATTTACTGATGCAGATCTGTAGAATTAAGAAAACAATGAAATGCAAATAAGTCTTATATATAGACGGTAGGACATGTGTGTGTAATTAATTCTGACCGAGGCTTCATCTTGGTCTGCATATAGTCTGTGTAAACACAGTCTCCTGCTTGAAAACGTTGGCATTCTTAAAAACTTGCTTCTGTATATCCATCTAAATGGTGTATTAACTATAGATTTAAGATGCAGTATGAACTGGGCTCTATTTGTATTGATGATGCAACTGGTTTGGCGAAACTAAACTGCTAACCAGCAAAGCATCCTGTTTAACACCATGTGAACACTGTGTATGTTTTACACCATATATGTCCTAGTAAATTATATATATATATTTATATACTACATTAATTATCATGGGGCAGAGTGTCTGAAAAAAAACCCAATATTATTATATTATAAACAAGTTTTTTTTTTGTTTCTTGATTGTTTAACTTTGTGTAGATTATTTGGGATGGACCCTATTCTGTTACTCCTCACTTGTCATTGTTTTCACCATTTGTTATTAAATTTGGTAAAAACGACAAAAAAATTATAAATAGTACATTTTATAATAAAAAAAATGCTCAAAATTATATATTGATTGTTTGTGTTATATTGATGAATTGGACGGGGGAATTCGTTAGATTAGTTGTCTAAAGTGTGCAGGTTCAGATCGTAAGGACCGTCATTCAATCAAGTAGTATGGTTTTTATTCCAAGCTTGAATTTTTCTGACGTGATTTTCCCGTGTTAGTGGCTCAGGACGGAGGGGTTGTCAAGGACAGCTGTCTAGTCATTTGGATGGGAAAAAACGAGGTCGCGTGTATACATTGCGGGGCGAAATTTCACTCATGCCACACTGCATGGCGAATGCCCGGAGCAAAACAGTAGAACGTTTAACCATATTTCATTTCATTCCCAGCTTGGATGTGACGAGGGGTTGGTTCGCCTGCCTGACCTTGTAGGTTTTCTCCAAATCCTCATTTACTTCCACTGCTAAAGACCCCAAAGATATTCACAATGAAAAATATATTCCATCTTAATTAGCCCAGTTTGTGCAGAAAAGTAGTATGTTAAACGCCATTTTATTTGATGCAGAATATATTAGTTTGTCAACTTTGTCAACTTGATGAACAAGGAAGAAAAGTATGTCTGACTGATGGAATAGTATGGAAACACATATTATATCCCTTTAGACTCCACAAAGAATTCACTGGTACTCAGCAATCTCTAAACTATCGAGATAGATGAGTACCAGTGAATTCTTTCGTGTGCACAATTACCCTTCTTTGATCAGCCAAGGTGAATACAGCATAGTCTCAGTATTGTCTTCATGAATCGTTACCGTTTATTCTATTTCCGACTAAACAATTCGAAAGTTCCGAAACGCGCTGTAAATAAACCATACTAAGGAGTTCGCAGGGTTCTGTTTTGGGGTCAATCTGGTTCATTCACTCAATAAATGATATAGTGGACGACCTTTCAGACGATATGGTACCATCAAGTTTATTTTGATGTACACGTTTCACCTGGATATCCCTTGACCCATTGAAATAATGTTCTATTTTTGCCTCTCCCCACAATTTGAGCAGATATCTGAGCGCCATGGAAAACGCATCACTTTTTTTTCCCAAATATTTTATTACTAGGTGGTTTTGTATGTATAATATTATGCAATACTATGAACTATTGTTTCACACAATGCTCCCAAACGCAAAAAAATATCGGCCCGTGTGCACAAAAAAAATTGCACGAGATGCACATGAAAAACTCAATATTCACGTGCAGCATTGTGTGTGTGCCCTTTAAAAGCATGTTTTCAACTTAATGTGCAGTACATGAACTGTGAAACGTTAATCTGTCGTAATTTGTTGTTGGATATGTGAAGGAATCGAGCTAGAGATGCCGAGACTTACTGAAAATTAACGGAATGAAGCCATGGGAATGTCCAGGGCTGGCATGTCTACACGTGCTATTGCCAGACACTTCAATAGTCATCAGTCCACTATTGTAAGATTGGTGGAACGTGTTCGAGTTACTGGATCAACACGTGACCGTCAACGTCCTGGTCCACAACGCGTTACAACCCAGGCTCAAGACCGCTACATCCGGGTCACTCATCTGCGTGACAGATTCCGCCCAGCGACTCGAACAGGTGCAGCAGTCATCGGAAGACAAGGACCAGTAAGTTCCAACACCGTAAGACGTCGTCTAAGAGAAGTAGGACTCCGTACACGACGACCTTATGTTGGAGCTATTCTCAGGGATCATCACCGTCAGCGGCGTTTGATATGGGTTCAAGGACACCAGACATGGAGAAGAGTAGACTTGCAAAGTGTGCTCTTCAGTGATGAAAGTCGCTTTCATCTTTATCACGCTGATGGCCGTCAACGTGTGTGGAGACGTCTTGGGGAACGTCTTGCAGACTGCTGCGTCTTCGAAACGAATCGATGGCGTGGGGGAAGTGTAGTGGTGTGGGGAGGCTTCACATTTCATCACCGGACCGCCTTACACATTTGCAGGGGTCGCTTTAATGCTGTACCTACCGTGATGATGTCTTGCAACCAATTGTTGTTCCGATGTTTCGAGCGCACCCACAACTTCAGCACTTCCAACAGGATAATGCACGTCCGCATACCGCCCGTTTTAGTATGGACTACCTGGCTGCTAACAACATCAATGTCTTGGACTGGCCAGCCATGTCTCAGGACATGGCACCGATAGAACATGTCTGGGATTAGATTGGACGCCGTCTGTATCGGAGACCATAGATGCACACTATTGCTGCTTTAGAAGCTGCTCTTGTCCAAGAATGGAACAATTTGCCCCAGGCGTAAGAGCCCGTGGAGGACACACGCGCTACTGACATCTGTGTCGTACTTTTGGTTTTGACCCCTCTGACTTTGCACCGTTGATTACAGATTAAACATCCACAAGTGTACAAATGTGTTGTTATTGATGTGTTCCCATTTGAATATTGTTCACAATAAGAATCAAAATAAATAAGATATGTTGACAGGATCATTTTGTTATACGAAAAACTAAGTGGTGCGTTTTCCATGGCGTTCAGTATATATAAAATTACACCAGAATTTTATGTTATTCAAATTGGGACCATGCTCAGTGTTTTGCGCTTGGACAAGTTTAAGATCAAATGGTGCTCAATTTTCGTTTTAGACACTCGATATAAGGGGGGAATTGGCAGGCGTGTTTGTGTGGCTTTTACTGCAAATACTCCTTACCGTAATGCGGACGGATCCCTTCTTTATCCCACCCAAAAACCTAGGCACGATTTTTTTGTCAGCCCCACAGACGCCACCGAAAATGAAGGACGTGTCTTTAAAATACCCTAAGAGTATTCTCTGCCCAACGCCGGAATTCGAACCCAGGACATTTTATTCAATATTTTTAATGCATGCAACGCTCGACGACCACGGTGCCATTTTCAAAACCATACAGAAATGGTCGTGAGCGGAAATTAAAACATTACCAGTTTCTTTATAACTGTAGAAAAGTAGACATTACATGGAAATATTGTCATAATTATATTTATTTCCTTTCTGTAAAATACGTGCTGGAACACAATACCCGAATAAAACAGAATAAAACATTACGTGAGAAACATAATAGATGGTTTAATATCAATTTGTATAACGCGTTCACTTATTTAAACAGGGTTCAAGTTTATTAGACTGTGAAGGTTTTATGAACAGCTTGACCACGTGTCACTCATATAATTGGCTGTTTTGATTATTTCCGACAATCGTGATGAATCTCAAGACGAGGAAAACGTCTGGATTGTCGGTCATGTTATCTATATATTAAAGTAGATAAAGTACAGGTACTTCTATGTTTACGGTAGATAAATACATTAATAAATAAAAAAATTCGCCCAGGTAAAAAAAAATTCACCACTTTACTTCATTCTGACATACATTAAATCTATAAAGGCGTCTTCAGTTATTACTAATCATATGCATATATATACAAGGTACCCGTGTCCAAGAACGAATCGAAGTAATTTTCTAGATGTAAACCTATCCGTAACTTTCACATTGCTCAACAGTTAATATCAAACAAAAATTCAGAAAACGCCCAACGAATTATATAATGGAATAATATATAGAATTGAAAGGATTATAGAAAGCATATAGCATGGAATGGAATTGAATGGAATATAGAACAGAACGTAACAGAACATAATAGAATATAGTCTACTGAGGGTAGCATACAATATACAAAGTTGAAAAACAAAAGTACAAAATCATACACGGACACACATTCATGTTACAAAACATTGTTCAAAGTTAGAAACCGTTTATCGTTTGAAATTGAACATTTGTCTTAACAATAGGATTGGTTCTAATTGTTCCAACTGCTGTTGTTGATTGACAACTTCCTCTATCCCTGCTCACCCTTTATGCCTGTTTACGATAACATAATTACAGATGACATTAAAATTGGATTTAATGGACGATATAATAAGATAAACGAATTAAAATTCAATTAAAACAATCATAAATTCAAAGACCAACCTAACAAGCCCCCTTCTAATTTTAAATGAGGTGCAATAAGGAATAATTAAGCCAGATTGTATTTTCCAGAATTTCAACTGAAATCTCAGTACATATGCATGTTACATTTTGCTGTAAGTTAAAGGAGCTTAACCTCTAACTCAGTATTATCCATAATATTCGAAATTAAAAATACTAATTAGAATTCAATATTGGTCCATTTCAATCAATACTGATGTTGTTACATGTAGCTTACCATGAAAGTATGGGATCCTAATACCCAATAATTAAGACAATGAACATTTCAAAATTAGTACACCACGTCGTGTAATTCCATGGTTTTAAGTGCCATTTATAAAGAACGGGAAAAACATTCCCTACAAGACAATTCGGAAATAATTAAAAATAGCCGATGCACAAACGCCAAAATAATGATTAAAAAAAACAGGTAGAATAGACTAAGTAGGTGCAAACGACCGCCGTTCAATTTGAATCGTTCACGTATTTCACCGAACATAATTGATTAAAAATTACAATAAAAAAAATTGAATATATGTCACCTTATATTGATATTACACTACTATGTGCTTTTAGGCCCATTTTTGTCTATTTTAAGGTTCCAAAGAATAGAGCTATACACCCTTTAAAACAATGGTGGGAAAACTTTTTAGGTGAAGAGCGAAACACAGAGTTTTGAAACAAAGCGAGAGCCAAACAAGGATTATAGGGCCAAGTCAAGTGACGTCAATTAGGCAACTACGTCAAAGCCAGATGACAAGGCATCGTGGACTAGTTTTAGCCCGTGGGCCGTAGTTTACCCACTGCAGTTTAAAACCGATACCACTAACCATCTTTCCAAAAAATCCCGTAATCGCACTTATTTTGTAAATAATCGGATAATATAAGTATCATATTATATGTTTTTATGTCATTATATGTTTTATATGTTTTAATTTCATATTATATCTTTTCATGTTTTGTACTACGCATTGGGATTGTTTTTACGATGTAATGCGTATAATAAGAAATAAATATTATTATTATTATTACATTCCAGAAAAAAATTCGCGAATGTTATCTCA